ATTAATTTTATCTTTATAGCAGACACAATAGTTTTTGTTTCATATTAAATCTACTAGGTGGGAAAGTATCCATGGGTAAAAGCTTGGAAGGCATTAATCACTACAATAGGTTACTAGATGAGCTGGAAAACCATGGGATTAAGCCATTTGTCACTCTCTTCCACTGGGATCTTCCAAATGCTTTGGAAGAAGAGTACATGGGTTTCTTAAGTTCAAACATTGTGTACGTATGTGAAATTATATTATTTTTGTATTTAATTCTCAATTCATTATTCGTTAGTTTTAAATATTTAGCAAGGATTTTGTCGATTATGCGGATGTTTGCTTTTGGGAGTTTGGAGATCGAGTGAAGCATTGGGTGACATTAAACGAGCCGTACAGATTCACTTATTTTGGTTACGTAACGGGTGATGGTGCACCTGGTCGGGGTGCAAATGACAAAGATAGTAACCCTGGAAAGGAGCCATATGTTGTTGCATATAATCTACTCAACTGTCATGCAGCTGCATATAAAAAATATCAGAATGAATACAAGGTATTAAATATTAAAAAAAATACAAGGTATTAAATAGTAAAAAAAACTATATTACGAGTTATTGTTGTAAATAAATAAATAATGAATCATTTGACATGTTCAAAAGATACCATTGTGTTAAAAAAAATGAAAAAAAAAATAAAAAAAACTAAAAAAAAAATTAAAAAAAATATGATAATGCAAGGAGCCAAAACTTTTTGGTCACATAGACCCTTAACTTTAGTGGTATTTTGTGAATAATATGTTCCAATTGCTTGGTGTTTTGTAAAAAAATAAAAACTTAATTACTTGACACTAATCCAAATATCACCTACACCTTGTGATTGTGATTGATAAATCCTAAAACCTATGTTTAGAAAACCAGACCGGTTATCATACCGTCGTAACCAGTCGTCAAACAAGTTTTATGGTGTGATCGGTTAGCGGTCGGACCGGTTCAAAAAACCGGAAAAACTAGACTATGGCCGGTGGAATTCAAAAAAAAAATTTATTAATCATATTCACTTTAAATTCAAAAAGATTATTATTGTTCTTATTATAATAATAATAATAATAATAATAATAATAATAATAAGTAGGAATGGAAGTGTAGAATTAATTTATTATAATTTTTAAAGAAAAAATGGTGCACTTAATAGAAGGGAAATATCTACCGGAGGGTTATAGATTTGAAAAAAAACGGTTTTTGCTTTATAAAAGCGGATAACCAGACAACTTCTCCGTTTAACTACTTGAATTGGCTGGTGTAATTTATCAGTTAACTAAATGAAGCATCGATTCTTAGGATTATCAAAAAGGTGAAGTGGGAATTACACTTGATTGCAACTTTTTCAAGCCATATCGAGGTCCAAACAATGACGACGATTTGAAAGCTGTTGCGTATGCCTATGATTTCATGCTCGGATGGTACGCATTTGTATAATATGAGGAACGAAAAGTTTTACACTTAGTTTGCTAATATTAACATTGAAATTATATGTTATGATGACTCATCTTTTAGGTTTTTGGATCCATTAACAAGTGGTACTTGGCCAAAAAACATGAAAAAGTTTGTCCCCTCTTTGAGTTCTAAAAACCCACCTGGTCGTTTACCAGAATTCTGTATGAAGGAAAGTGAAAGATTGAAAGGTTCTTATGATTTTCTTGGAATAAACTACTACACAGCAAATTATGCTGCACCCTTAAGTGAATCTTCTGATGTTGTTCCTCTTGGTTATCGAACAGATTGTCACTACTGGGCATCAGGTAATGGAAAACTAATAGGCTTGATTTGTTTACAACATTTATCAACTTTCTCTTCTACAGATAATTTGTGATAGTGAAAACAAGTTATATATCCATATATCTTCATAATGATTCATGTTTCTCAAGAATAAGTTACATGGTTTTCTTTTTCTTTTTTCTCATGTTTTAGGGCGAGATCCTAATGGTAACGATATTGGAAAAAGGGTAAGATAACTATACTATAAATAACAAAAGAAACAAATGGACATGCCAATGAAAAGATTAATAAATTCAAATATTGTTTACTTTGCTAAACATGTATACCTAATATATTAACTATCTTTATAACAACTTAATTTGCAGGCTTACACAATTGACAAAACTGAAGACAAAGGGTCATTTGTTTATCTTTATCCTGAAGGGCTTACTGGGCTCTTGGATTACATAATCAAAAAGTACGATGTTCATGAGAAACACATCGTAATTACTGAGAATGGTAAAATAATAATCCATTGGTTTATGTATCTTTGTTATTGTTAACTGTCTCCAATCGTTATAATTGTTCCTAACCTTAACAACGGTTCTCATATACCATTAACTATACCTAAATGACATTTATAAACATGCTATAATGAACATACACGTCATTTTCAACACATATTTTCTAGACGACACTTAATAAACTTAAGAAATAATATTATTAAGTCTTGCTTATGCTTTCAACAAAGTTTATTCCTAGTTTAATCCTCAAAAACTTTGAATTTATGATTACATTGTTATCTTGTGACAGGATTCCCACAACTAAATAATCCTGACAAAACATATGAGCAAATTCGAGATGATACAGAACGAATTACCTATATAAAAGAGCATATCGAAGCAATAAAAAAAGCCAGGGTGTAAGTTAAAGCAGATTCATTTATTCATTTTATTTATTCCCACGTCAAGGGATAATGATTAAACACAATCTTAATCTTTTTGTATGATGTTACAGATCTTACAGGAACATTATGGGGTACTTTGTATGGTCATTCATGGATAGCTTTGAATGGAGAAGTGGTTATGGTGACCGATTTGGTATGATCTACGTTGATTACAAGAACAATCTCCAGAGGTATCCCAAAAAATCTGCAAATTGGTTCAGAAGGTTTCTTACTAAGGACAAACCTGAAAAGAAGACTCTTGAGAAAGTGGGGCTTCTGAAACGAGCTCTAGAAGTGAATGTGGAAGATGAAGAAGAAGATGGAGTCAATGATGAAATGATTGAGGCAGAAGAACCAGTTGAAGTGATTCCAAAACTGAAGAAGGCGAAAGCATGAAAAAAGTCTAAGTTACGGCATGTCTGGTCGTTCTTATTGCTCTAATAATTTTACGTTTTGTGTGCATGAAATGTTTTCCAAGCAGAATTTTGGGGAAGTAACTTTAAGCTTGAATAAAGCCCCGAATCATGCTGCTTAATAAATTCATATTTTCGTATCCATGGATCTTTTAAAGTTCTCAGATATGAGATATGTAATAACTGTTGATGTGATATAATAATTAGTGATTGTATTGTTTATAATCAGATGTTGAATATTGTACTAATTATTTTTGTTGGAACCGGCAAATATCAATCCTTATTCTAATAAATGAGTAAGTTATTCTTTTATTGACAAGTGTCATACTATTAGAATTTCTCATTAATATTATATATCACATATGATATTACTTGTCAGCCTATTAATTATCAATTTTAAATTTTAAATTTGTTACTCTAGTTAAATTAAATCAATACTTGATTCTACATTTTAAATTTCAAATTTTAAATTATTTCACTCTAATATATTAAATTAATAACATTAGATTAAAAGTAAAATAAAATTAATATAAATTATAAGGTGGTATAGCTTCATCTATTTATTTAAATCAACGATTATAATTTTATATAATCAAAAAAATATCTCTTAAGTAAGAATTTATTTAAAATAATTGATTAATAATTCTTATTTTTTAATAAGAAAGTTTAATTAATTTTATAATTGTGATTCGTATGGATTATAAAGTAGTGCATTATAAAGCCATAAAATGACACTGCTAGGCAGTAGCTAGCAGCAAACAACTATTACAAAGCAATCAGGACATCACGACTTTTTAAAGAATGAAAATGACAAATTTAAGCAATAAACTCAAAAGAAAAATCCATAATAGTTTTTTTTTCCTTTGGAACAAAGCCTCATTGCTCACATACCAAATCTCCCAAATCTTTGCATCGATCACCCCGTCAAACGCATCTTTCACAATCGGGCAACCTTAAGCCTGACCATCATGGGCTTCATGGGCTTCAGAATGCAACATATCAACGTACAAACACAATCATGAATATTTATTAGTTGGTAGCGAATGTAGCGGATTATAGTTAAAAACATATTTCATTTTTTTAAATTTTTTTATTTTAAGGGCATAATTTTTTGTCCTCTATACATAAACATCCATATCAAAATAAAATATTTTTTTAATTTCAATTCATTCAGGTCATATGAAAATCTATATTGTATCTAGTAATCTATCTATTAATTAATCATTGTATCTGTTAATTAATTATAATAAACGTGAATAAACTTGACACATAGTCACTATTGTTGAGAAATTGGCGACATGAATTTGTTTTCAAAATGAATTTTACTATTATTTAGTAACAAAAACGATTGTTTTGAGAATTCAGACAGAATGATTTAATAAAACCATGACAAAAGTGTTGTTGTTATTAAGCATTTTGTCAAATAATTGTGGTTGTATACTTTTTCTAGACACAACAATTTTTTTATATCGACTATTGTTCATCTGATGGTTACATGATTTTTTTTTTCACTTTCTGCATTGCTATTATATAGTCACCAAGTGATTGTTTATTGAGATTTTAGACACATCTACATCTACATATCTTAATAAAAGACTTTCTTTTTTCATATGTCTTTTCCATGTTCGGTTTCAGCAAAAAGTGTTTTCACCTTTATATCCTTCATGCATTTAATTTAATTAATATTTTCGAAATCATTAATTTGTATTCATTTTTGAATTTCCTAATTCTCGGCTCCCAAATCTAAACTCCTATTTATCTAGGGTTTTAATATTGATCTAGATAATAATTAAACATGCAGAGAATCAGGGAAGAAGAGAGACTAAACCAAATACGAGGAATGAGCTTTTAAAATTACCATCCATCTTGATTAATTTTTTGAATAAACTGGTGGGCACCAGTTACTTTTTAACATCGGTGGATCTTTTTTCTTTCGTTTTGATAAATCTTTTTATGGATTTGTATAATTGTCTCTGTGTGTATTCTGTCTTGAAAGCTTTAGAAGCTCGGTAAAACTCAAAGAAAGTTTAGTTTATGCTTGTTTAGATTTTTTTTGATGATTTTAGCCCTTGAATTGTTTGATTTGCCTATTACGTTCATTTCAATTTTTTTTTTTTTTTACTTTAAATCTTCATGAAAATGCTATAAGTACTTAGTGATCCACTAATTTGGTTTAAGGCTATTCAGTTGAAGGCGTTATCCTGCTAACAAATTAGTCTAATAAATACAGCTTACAAATTGTGCCACTAGGTGTTCGATATAATGTGAGGGTGAGTTAGAGTTTAACATTTTGACTTTTTATTGAATAGGCTGAATGTCATTGATAAAAAAATTCAACTGTTTAGTGAATTCAGTTGTTCTGCATTGCGAGTTTTTTGTACGGAAGAAGGATTCTAATGGGGGTCCATAATCTAGGGTAAATAGAATACTCATTCATTAATTATATGGTCTTTTGTGATCAACCGAGTAGAAACTCAATTTGTTTGATTTGTAACTTTGCTTCAGTTTCTCATCAACTGTGTTGTTTCACTTTCGTTCCAACACTTACAAATTGACTTTTTTTTTTAATTATTTTTTTATAACACTCATTCATTTATTACGTGGACTTTTTTACATCACACTAATACATGGTTCTTTCTTCTTATATAGACTTGCTTGATCACTAGACAAGTACTGTGTAACGCCTGGTTTCTAGTATTTATTTAAAATCAAAACTTATTCACTTTCATAAAGGAACTCGATGAGTTGGGAGCACCAGACTCGTTGAGTAGGAATAATTTGGGACGCGTGTTAAGAAACCTACTCGATGAGTTGAGAGACTCAACGTGACGAGTAGGCTGGTAGAAATGAAACCCTAATTTTAAGTGTTTTATACTCTATTTAAAGGCCTTAATGTGTGACATCTATAAAAATCATGCCAAATTTAAACTTTTAAAACAATTAAAAACCATTAACCATTACAAAATTTGTTTTCAAAATGTATCATGTCAGAGTATCCCAGAACAAAGTCATAAAGAGTGAGGAGCTGTATGATCACGCCTTTGCCTTGCCGCGATCCCCTAATGTACCTGAAACAATAAGCCCGAGAGCCTAGTGAGTTCCCCCAAAATACCCATACCCATAACAATACACATATAATCATAAATAGCATACTATTAGTCCAATCAACCATCAGGTTGGAAGGCCAACATACTACGGGTCCAATCATCCTTGGGATGGAATACCTTAGGCCCACAACCAACAGGTTGGAATACCCACATAATATGAGTCCAATCATCCTCGGGATGTAATACTCACGGCGTACAACCAACATGTTTGAATGCCCAGGTCTATTGGCTTTCGCACAAAGCAAATAAGCCTCAACCGCCAAACAAACATGTGTACGTTTAACAAATAATCACATAATAGTCTATAGACATCAAACTGATCTAACGGATCATACCACATAACACATAATACCATCCTATCTACCATGATATCGATCTATCAGATCATAACACATACGACATAATACCATCCTATTTACTAGGATACTGATCTAACAGATCATACTAGCAAAACATATCCAATTAACAATCAAAAGGGCCGACCTTGGTGCCTTAGACGCTTGAGTATAGTGAGGATAACTCACATCTCAACTTTCGACACGAAAGATAAGCTCAAACTCACGGACCACCGCTACAAACTCCACCACCTATGATCACCATAGAACCGTATTCATAAATTTCAATTTTCCCAAAATGCCCCAAAAGTCAATTAGTCATCCCCTGGTCAAAGTCAAAGTCAACAGTCAAGGTCAACAGTCCATGTTGACCCGACTCATCCAATGCATTCACTGACTCGTTGAGTCCTTCCGGAACTCGAGTAGTCGTGAAATCCCCCCACTGATTCGTCGAGTTTCCCTGCAACACGCCAAGTTCATGCGTCTCCGAATGTTCGGAAAACCCTAGTTAACTCACTAAGTCACCCCACTGACTCGCCGAGTCCATGCAGAAGTCCTTGCACGACAATCTTTATCGGCCTCGCCGAGTTGACCATGCAACTCGCCGAGTCCCTTCAGCCCTTTATCCATTCAGATGCTTTTTAAGCCATTTTAAGGTTCCATATTGTAGATCGAGTTTGTTAAGGCATGTTTATCATGTGAAGTTGCAAACTTTACATGCGTGCAAGGCTCTAAAGATTTATAATGTCAAATCCCAACTTGTAATGTAGTTTTACACCTAAGAAGAGGTTCACACTTGCTAAATCTAGAAGCTTTATGGATTTAGAGACCAAAGAGAGTTCAAATTTGAAGTTACCACTTCACATCTTAGCTCATACCCAAGAATAGCTTCCTAATATGCTAGAAAAGCCCTAATTTTTAACTAAATGAGATCTAGAAGGAAATGAGGTTAAGGTAACAACTTGATACCTTAAAATGATGCTAACTGAGGTAGATTTCAGATCCACACACGTTCCTTGCTGCTAGCTACTTGATTTTCAAGCTCCCCTCACTAAGATCCACCTTCCAAAGCTTAACACACATAAAAATGGAGCACACTCAGATTATGGTTTGCTTGACTCTCAAGAGGCTATAAGGGGGCTAAGGGAGGCTAATGACCCTTTAAATAGGGTGCAAAACCTCAGAAAATAGGGTTTCATCCTCCAGCTCCTACTCGTCGAGTCCTATCTTAGACTCGACGAGTAAGGCACTTAAACATGTGGCCCAACCCGCTGCAACTCGACGAGTCAGGGCAACCAACTCATCAAGTAGACCTTGAAATTATGAAAATTAAAGCCGTAAAATTAATACCTGAAAATCGGGGCGTTACAATTCTCCCTCACTTGAACTTGACTTCTTCCTCGATGTTTCCCGCGTTGAACAATTCCGGATAGTGTTCCCACATCTCTGCATATGGCTCTCACGTCAACTCGGACCCGCTTCAGTGTTCCCACTATACATTTACCAAAGGTATCTCCTTGTTCCGTAGAACGTTCACCTTCCTCTCCTCTATGGCTACAGGCCTCTCCATATAATTCAGGCACTCATCAACCTGAATATCATCCAACGATACTACCACCTCCTGATCCATAATGCACTTTCGCAATTGCGAAACGTGAAAAGTGTTGTGGATCTGACTAAGCTCCTTGGGATGCTCTAGCCTGGAAGCTACCTTTCCAACCCAAGCAATGATCCTGAATGGGCCGATATATCGTTAACCCAATTTCCCCTCTTCCTGAAGCAGATCACACCCTTATAAGGCGAGACCTTCATGAGTACCATGTCACAAACCTGGAA